GTGATAACATTTATTTTGTAAATAAAAAATAGATTCTATATTATTTCCTATTGGTAATATATTAAATTCATATTGATGAGAGAGGGTGAATTTTGTTTATTTGTGGAATGCGATTTTACCAAGTATCAGAGAGGTTAATATTAAATACTTTCGGAAAAGATTTTAATATAAGCAATGGATTGCCTCGGGCATCTTAGTTCATCTGAACTTCCAAGTTCTTTTTTTTCCGAATTGATAAATAAATCGGATTTTTATTGGGTCTAATTTGTAATCTTGTTCAGATAAAAAAAACTTAGTAAAAGAATTTGGTTCTGTGCCGCAACTGTAAATTTATATTGGACTTTTAAACCACGTTTGTAGTTGTGTAAATTAGGATAAAGAGTACGTGATTACGTTTTGAACTTTAATGGTTTTATTTAGACATACTCATACATATATACAAATTTTCAATTTATCATTATAATTATAGTGGAAACAAAGTCATAATATTTAAGTTTGAGTACATTTTATACTTATATTTTTGTGATGGAAATAATAGAAGAATATTATTATTTTTTGGTAATATTGAAGGTGATTTATGGCATAAGGTAAATATGAAATTTTTCGTTTTATTCACATCAAAAAGAAAATAATTATGACTTTTATTTTCAAAATTGAAAGATAACTGGTATTTAACGCGATCGAGCTCCTCTTTATGAAGTCGTCAACAGGTTACGTGGCATCTTGCAAAACTTTTGATTAGGTTGGTTTAGGCAAAATTTGTATTCAAAGTTTATTTTCCGTCATTGAAGTGTAAATTGAAGGCCGACTTGGAAACTAATTTCGTACGAAAAAAGTTTTAATTTGAGATGTGTTAGTATTACTTGTTATTATATTTTTCATGAGGGCATTTATAAATATAGGGCATGTTTTATTTCATTTAGCGAATGTGGAACACTAAATTCGATGGTGGAAGGTAGGTTCATAATTTTAAAAGGACTAATCTCTCAAAATCAATTTTCTTATAATTTTCGTACGTAGTTTCGTATAACAGTGAATAAGAACTATTGTTATATATATGTGACCAGTTTTGTGTTCGCTAATTCGTATGCGTGGATTTCAAAAGTAGAAAAAAACATTAAAGTAGACAATATTTAAATGGCTTTGATGATTAGCGGTAAAGTATATACACTTTTAGTTGTATAAATAAATACAGAATTTATAACAATTGAAACCGCATCCAATTTGTTGTAATTCTAGTTTTTGCGAAGTATTGTAAGTATGTTATTAAAATAATATATCTAGTGTTTTAGTATTTAAATACAAGTATTTTATTTAAACCTGGTTTTGTCTGAAATACAGCCTTTTGAGTAAGAATTTACATATTTCTTACGTTTACAATTATTCTTTTGTTACAGGTAGAGTCGAGTATTAAAAGCATAAAAAAAGAAAATTGAATAATAAATCTGCAGATGAGATCTGCATTTAATTTGCAGATGAGAAGCGCATTTCTTGTTTTGGGTAAAGTAAATGTATATATAAACGTTAAATGTGAAGTTGTAATACGAAAAAGTTAGATTTTTTTTTATATTTAATTCAACTTACAAAATTAGATACGAGCTTCGTGGTAAATATAACAAATTAAAATATAAAACAATTTACTTTTTTTTATGTAAAAAATACTTTTTTAATCTCAGATGAGATCGAGACATTACATTTGATAAAGATATAGATTCGTTTGTTGGTGTTGTAATAAATGTTATTTTTTTCTTGATACTAAGAATGGAACAAGCAGAAGGGTTACCTGATGGAAGGTGGTAAACGTAAAACTTAGTCATCTCGACTCAATTTATTTGACTTCTCTTTGGCAGGTCTCTCAGACTAATTAATTATGTTTCTTAACAAAGTTATAAATAAAAATTCTACACAAATTAGTTCATATATCTGGCACATATTTGAACTCTGCAAGAGTCTTTTTATGATTTATGAGTCAACATAGTAAATTGTTATGACATGGTGCTATCATTATATCACAAATACACAATTATTTTTTTACAAAATATATATAAGCTGCTACCTTATATTTTTATGAAAGAAGCGATAAGTAGTCAAAATTCAAAAGGCTTTCTACAATTAATTAATGGTTAATTGGTTTATTCCCTATATCCTGTTACAAAAAACCTGAAATCCTATAATAGGATTTAGGTGTAAGTGTCTAAAATGATTTATTCTGTTTACATTTACAGCCGCTTCATTTTAATTCTATAAGTAGACTAGGAGACATAATCGTGGGGTAAGCTCAGAGAATAAGCTTATTTCTTGCTCTAATGTTATTCAAGTCTCTGCGAGTTTAGAGACTTAATATACTTGTCAGCGTTGTTTATTTTCAAAAAGAAAGTTAAATCTTGATGAAAGCCTCGCGTTTGGAAAATTTTAAGTGTTTTTCTTAATGATACATTCTAAATGTGTTTCATAATAATCAGCTTTCTAAGAAATAAACTCTGTAATTTTGTTGATCGTGTGAATCGTAATTGTGAATCGTTATACTTAATTTTTTTTTACATTTACAGACTGAAAGCTATTTTTAAGTGAATCTACTATCGCCTAGAGTGGTGACATGACATTGACAAGTGAGTCTACTCTTTACTCGGCACTTTGCTTTTGCCTAAATAAATAAGCGGAAGTGCCATCATTGTGTTTAAGGAATTTTGTGTTTGCCTCCCGCCTTATTCAATGTACGTAAACTTGGCTTCAATGTTATCATTCCATAAATGTTTGAGTTGTTATAGAAGGGGTTGTGGTAGACGGTGATAATAATTGTACTTAAATATTCCTGTAGTCTGCGATTCGACAATCTGTAACATATTTACTAAGAAAATACAATTTAATCGTAATTATTAACGTTATCTGAGGGTATCGAAGTACTAATTTTTTTTCTATAATATGTAATAATCAGTAGCATTATAAATTTATTGAAGTATTATTTGCCTTACATGAAAAAATATACAAATAAAAAAAAAATTGCTCTAGTACAAGCATACAGTGTTATTATGTACTTACATGTAATTATAATATTTAAAAGCAATATAAATAGAATACGCATCAATAGTAGGATCGTCTGTTATGTAAAAGATCTATTTATCATATCTACTTATTTCAAGTTACCGTAATCTTTAGTTTTAAATACTAGTAGTATCTTAGTAAATAGATTTGTATATGACAGGTAAATTTTTTTGAAAAATGCCATAAAATCTATTTTTAGTTAGTACTTACTAGAGTAGGTACAGCACAATATAGTAAGTATTTATCATCATCATTGTCATATCAGCTTTTAACCGTCCACTGCTGAACATAAGCCTCTCCCTTGAGGGGTTTTGCCAGTAATTGGCACGCTTCACAGTCGGATTGGCAACCGCAGTTAGGGTTTAGAGATGTTTTAAGATGCTGCTGTCCATCCTTTGCCCTCCCTCACCGCCCTTAGCGGTTTTCGGCTCATGGGATAGGAAGGGGAGGCCTATTCTATGCCGGGACCACACGGCCAATATATAGTAAGTAATTGTAAGTATTTACTACTATCTTTCAATTGAAAAATAAAGTAATGTTTTTTTTTTTAAAATGCTCATTGTTTTCTCAGGTGATTTCATCTTAAAAATTCACATGTATATCATAACGTACAAGAGTAAATTTTGATATTATTATCTCTCTTAGCACCTGCGATAGAAGGAACGTAGGTATGTGTTTATGAAAAATACGTGTGTTTATTTAGGCAAGGGTGTATTAATGGTAGATTATACGCAATTCCGGTATCATACCAAAAACAGTTATTGAATGAAATTTTGTGGAAATAAACATTGATTTACGTGTGTTTTAAGATACTAGACCACGTATCATTTACCCAATGGAAATTGTAAAAGTATTAGGTGATACCGATATTTTACTTAAAATATTTATTCCAAAGAAATATGGGTCATAAAATGACAAAAAATTGGAACCTGTCCTATTAAAATGTTTTTTTTTTACAACACAGGGGGCAAACGAGCATGCGGCTCACCTGATGGTAAGTGACTACCGCCGCCCATGGTCACCCACAACACCTACGGCATTACAGGTGTGCTGCCGGCCTTTTAAGGTATTAATTTTGTATAGGAGATTATATTTTTATTTAGTTCTAATTATTAACCCACCCATTCTAAGTATTAGTATGTATCCTAAATACATACTTATACTAGTAATACAATTAGGTTCACCTGCAATGCAAATTAAATTTTCAACCGACTTCAAAAAGAAGGAATATCTCAATTCGGTTGTATTTTTTTATGTTTGTTACCTTATATCATATCATATAAATTTCAAGGCACATTTAAGACAAATGTTATATTTAGCTTGAAATAAAGTTGGCTAAGCAAAATGTTTTTGTCGTGGAAGATAGGTATGCAGGTAATTATTTTTTATGAATATTTGAAGCTATAATTTGATAACAATAAAAATGAGAGTAATTATAGCATAATTAAAACATTATATAAGTTGATTATTCTATTTATTGCAAATAGAATTAATACGTTCACGATTGCTACTAGAACATAAGTACTAGATGAGGCATTGAGTGATTACTGTACACTACCTATATAGTCTTCAATTATTTATTGTCCACTGCTGAACACAGGTATTGTGTATGGATTCTAAGAAGGTAAACAAAGGCTTGTTTACTCTGTTGTTACTGGCTCGATGTATATGCACTCTGTGGTACAACGTCTGTCCTCGTGTATTGCTCCCGAGATATTAACTTGTTTTGACATTTTTGATAAATGTAGCCTCGTGTAGGCATGTATAGGTACTGGAATATAATAAGCCTTCTTCAAAAATTGTCACAAATAATGATTTCATTTAATTTGAATCCATTTATTTCTTGTAACACATTTAAGGCAGTAGCTTTATTTAGTCGGAGTACGTTTGCGTTGTAATGACGATGATATTTTGAAATTTATTAATATTACAAGAAAAAAGAAACAATAATTTATATAAATCATGGTTTATTTATTAAATATAAAATTGCCATATCAGATCATTAGAACCACAGAAATTATTGACAGCTACAACAGTTCAGTTGACATAATATATATATACATTTATCTATAACCCACAATATCATCATTAAACTCTATTTAATAGAATTAACATAAATCGAAACATTTACAAGTATCATATAAAATGGCACTACATTATGGAGAAAAAATTTCAAGAATATATTTAGGTTTTAATGAAAAAAGGCATGACGTCTTTTATTAAAATAAGAGTTAAATAGAGATAACATAAAGATGTTATTTATTTGTGTTAATCTACATTTCTTGCACTTTAAGATTAAGTCTAACTTCAATACAGTCTTATGGCCACCATATTGTTTTCTACGTGATGTTATTTAATTTATGGCTATTACTTATGCTTCGGTAACAAATTTATCTTCTTTCAAGACACTAACAGTCACTGTTTACAGCTAACTAGATATTTTCTGTTTCACATCCCTTTATCGATCTAGATTCAAATCAATCGAACTTTAAAACACTTTACTGCTTTGATTTTAAACTATTACTAGAAAATTCACTTTGAATCGTAAATCGTATGCCTATTTTTTTAACTCATTGTAGAGACGTTAAGTTTTTCCATACTTGTTTCCTTTACACTTTTTTAATGTATGTGGGAGTATCATTTGTTATTCCATACATATATGTATGTATATACTCGTATAGTAATTGAATCATTAAAAACACTCAGTTTATAGTCCACTGATAGAGAAAACATGAACATGGGCTTTCATGTTCGTTTTATATATTTTATTACATGTTCATAAATAAAATATCGTTTATATTCTTTTCCTTTCCACAATTAGCCATTTCTGCAAGCGTTTTATAAAAAAATAATCAAAAGTATCTTGAGTAAATCAGCAATTTATATCTTTAGAATAAATAATTATATTTCCTAATGAGATACTTTGACATTATACTCCTGAAATTGCATCTCCATAGTTTAATTATAACGAATATTTACAATTTCTACAAACACATTAATTATATAAATGACAACAAAAGCCTTGTTATCTCTTTGGTTTTCATTATTATCATCTAAATTTATTTACAGTCACCACAACCGAGTTTATTAAAATAAATAGGAATTTCTACAAGCTTTTCAAATATCTATTACTCTATGATGTATTATTACATATCTTAGGTACTAAATTGGAGCGCCATGTGTAAAGTTAATGAGCCAATTTTTATTAGATTAATTTATGTAAAGATTAACATTATTTGAATTAAACTTGTTTATCAAGTAGATAGGCATTTTAATTATATTTAATATGAATTACCAAAGTCAGTCTGATTTTTTTAGTTGAAATTATAGCAGTGGCTCAATATGACATTTGTATATATTTGGGGAAACGATGATCTACGACTTCGTCTTATCTTAGACTATGAAATGAATTGAGCAAAGACTTTTAAAATTAACTATTGAAATATTACTTGTATTTTATTAAAGTCTTTTAAGACGAACGCAATTTCATATCGAAGACAAGTAATATTATTGTACTGTAAAAAAATTCTTAATTAAATATTTGAATTTTATTACAATAGTAATAAATACATAAAAGCCGATTTTGCATAAAATTCAGATTAAAAATGTCACATTTTTCAAAACAAATAGATTATATATTTTATCGCTATAACATATATAATTATAACGCGGAGTATTACCAAAGTTGGTATTTATTCTAATAGTGAACCTGTACTTCGTTGGCAAACGTAAATAATGTTTCAAATTAAAAAGTCACTGTCACTTCACACACAACTTTCTGGTCCTGGTAAATTTTCTGCTAATACATGTTCTCTTCTTCGAGCGTTACCTTTACCTTTGGTCCTATGTAATGTTGATGTCGCGAGACTCCCTGAACTTAAGGTTGGCCCACTAAGCGTTAATGTCTGACTGCCAAACGGTGATCCTATGTTGCCATTCGGGCAGACAAAGTTGGGGCTCCCTAAAGTGGGACTGTTAGATACTACAAAGTTAGGCCTAAAGTTATTTCCTACTACTGTCTGAGGAAGGTTCTGATTTAGAACATCCTCTTGTCTACTGCTAGGCACCATGTCGCTTCCTGGTGTGAGCTGTTAAAAAATTCGTACCTATTAGGTATGTAATATAATTTTGAATTACTTTTATGTTTCAAAGTGATTAGTATTTAGAGATTATTTTTATATACATAGTTATATTACCTGTTGTGGTCTTCCAGCAGTGTCTAAAAGCGCTAAATCTTCTGCTGAGAATACTGCTCCAGTTTTACACCAGTCCCCTAAAGATGTTTACACTTATTACAAACTGATAATATAATTATAAACAAATAAGAAAGTATCTACTAAGTGTGAAAAATTATGATTTATATGAGGAAAAGTGCTTACCGTCGCTTATGGATATGAACAAACACCATTTGCTACACAAAACTCTCTCGCATTGCTTGTAAGGCACATTGTATTCTGACAGAGATTGAACTATGGCTTCATAGAAAATCAGACATGGTATCTGCGTATGTAAATTATGCTGATTTCAAAATTACGAGTGAAAAGCTCAGCAATATTTTAGTCTTTTTACGTACCTCGTACTTCTTTTATGCTAGGCCATTCGTCCACTTCATCCGTAGAAGGTGGAGCAGGTTGACTATCCGAGTCTGTAAATATATAAGAAAACTTATAATATTAAAAATATATATATACTATGATAATAAAAATGGATACGCAATTTATGGTATCAATTCCAATGAGAATCGGCGTTATCTGAATATTGATGATTGAGATGAATTATTATTGAGAAAAAATATGGAGTAAATGTAATGTATAAAAATACTTGTTACGAAAATGGAAGTTTTAGTATTAAAACACAGTGGTATATTAATTTGATAAATTCTGAATATTTTTTTTATACCACTGAGGTGGCAAACAAGCGTACGGCCCACCTGATGGTAAGTGGTTACCGTAGCCTACGATTATGTGATACACAAGCTTTATATTAAACTTACCAGGAGCATTTAATATATCTGGTTGTGGATCAGGTGTTTTTTGGTCTGGTGATGGTTTAATAGTATATGCTACAACATAGCGACGACCACCATCACTCAATTCCAGCATATCTCCTGGAGGGTGCTTGTGAGGTGGTTGCGAGCGACGTCTACGGGCACATAGTGCTGTAAAAGCTATCCCACCAATGGCGAGAGTAACACCAAGCACTGCAGCTACCACTACGCCAAGGGTTACACCACCCATGGCGCCTTTTCCATCTGTTTACAAATATACAATACTTTAAAACATTGACTACTATTTTGTATAGTACTATTGTGTAAACAATCTGTCGAGTGCCTATTTGGTATAACGTGATTATAGACTATATACATAGTGTTTACAAATCTATACAGACATATATATATATATATATATACATATATATATATAAATACATATATATCATAAGTAAACACACGAATAGATAACAAAATGAGCGTCTTAGTTAATTGTCTGTCTAGTCTGTCTGTCTAATAATTTGAAGTATTATTTAGCATGAATAATTTAATATCTAGTTATCATACGGATTTTTTTTTTAAATCGTATTTTTTTTAGTTACAAGCAATTTCGACGGTTACATTTGTGAATAATATATTTGCCTTATTTTCAGTATTGCATGGGGTGAGCCTATCGTCATTTCACGGAGCAATTAGGCTTAATAATGGCATTTACTAACAGCGTAGATTTGGTAGGAAATTGGAAATGATAATTTAAATTGATGCCGATTAAAGAGATTTTCTTGGCTTCAGATAGTATGATACCGTTGCATTTAGGCACCTCAATATAAAGCCTCGTTAATAACTACTTTTAGTCATTAACTCGTTAATAACTAAAAATAATAATAAATAAGACATAAAGATATTAAGGTGCTTAAACAGAGATTCTACAAGAATAGAATTCCCACCACTTTTCCAATAAGTTGAAGAATCAAGTGAAGGTATTGATCTCTAGGTTAAAAAAAGAATTTAAAGTTTTGTACCTTCCACGGATATCCGTTTCGATTGTGACAAAATTGGTAATTAATAGGGTTTGGACTAATACGGGTACAAATATTATCAATTGCAATAAAAAACATAATGAAGTAAACTAAAAAAAAAAAGAAAGGCGAATTGAGAACATCTCTTTTTGAACAAAGAAAATTGTGCATTTGTTTTTAAAATTTACTATCTATTTATTTTAGACTTTTAAATTTTGTTTTTCAAGCCAGTGACAATAGTTAAGATTGTTCAGTAATTAGACTTTTTGTATGTACCTGTTATCTTAGCTGCATCATTGAATGCGATGTTTTCAAGTAAAGTCTTCTCGGAATCTCCTTTCAAGTTTTTGGCGTATATGAGTAAGTTGAACGTGGTTCCATGTCCGTTGACAACAGATGAAAGTTGATTTACATCCAATTTGAACACCGCTAGACCATCTGGACAGTATTTTAAATACGATTTAAATTTAAATAAAGACTCTATTAGTGTTATTTAAGGTTTTAATTGAGAAAAATGAATTATGGACTTCTAGGAAGATCATAGGCGTTTTTATAATTCATCGTAGCAATTATGGTTTTATTGTGACGATATAATAAGACAGTAAAATGTATACAATTGTATGAAAATGTTTATGTTTGAAGGTGAGGGTTACCGCTTTCCATCAGGTGGAGCGTCAGCTTGCTTACTTGATAAGCTTTATAAAAAAAAAACATTTTAAATTTTTCGCGGCAACATTTTGGATGTACACGGGAATTTACAAGCATTTCTTTATAATTGCATATTTAAATTATATTATTCTATTATAAAAATATTTTAACGGTAAAATGTCATGCTTTGCTACGATGAATTACAAAAGCGCTCAAAGATAGATACTTGCTTTACACCGTTATCGTATTCATGTATTCATACGATAAAAGCTTCTTTTTTTCTTGTTTCATGTTGATTGAAAACATTACATCTATTCATAAACAAAACCTAGCAGTGGAAATGGAATTACTTTTCAATGTAATATTGTTTTAAATTTTACCGTTTTGTTTAAAAAAATATTATTTGTAAGACGGAATTTCTCCAAGGTTTTATAACGAATTAATTTCACCAAATTTTTAGTAGAGACGAAAATACTTAGTTGCGAGACTAATAATTTGTATGAATACATAATACGACGATTAATTAAGGCAAACGAGTAAAAATATTACATTTTAAGTATTAAAGTGGCATTGTAAAAAAATTAACAATATACTTTTTAAAAGTAATTACATAATCCTAGGAGTTGTTGGGAATTTTTCATGGTCAATTAAGTTTCCTTGAATTGCTCCATTCCATTTAGTTTATAATAATCAGACGGTTATTACCATACTAAATAGAGTATGGAGCATGGCTTTATTTATTAAAAATCAAACCTAAAATACAGTTACTAAGATGTACGTTAAATCAGACAAACAAATAACTATATAATGAAAATCACTTTTAACTGACTCGAATTTATGCATGATACTCGTATTTTAATTTACGCAATGTACTGTCTAGATTGTGGATACATATGTATTTATGAATTAAATAACATTTACCAGTCTCATTAACACTGCCGTTGAATCTCGTTTTCCCAGTGATAGGATCCAGAGCTTCCAGCACAAAAGTCTGTGGCAAACCACCATCATATCCAGCCACGCAGCGCACACGCAGCCAACTTGCACCATCTATGCTGTTGTTACCCGCTTGAAGAGAGCAGTTACGAGGAGCTGATGGTCGAGCTAGAAACAAATACTACGATATTAGATATTACATTCTCCGTTTTGTAATACAACTTAAGGCAACTTTAAGCGAACAAAACACAATATGGCAATACTTATATTGGTCTCAAACTCAATATAAAACTCAAAATAACATACTATTATTATGCTTTCTGAAGAATGGTAAATGACTAAAGAACTTAACCTGTCACTTGCTGGAAGAATCCGTTGGACAAAATATGAGCAGATAAAAGTGTTTTTCCAGTTTCATTTCTATCTAGAATGGTATATTGAATGGGATATTGATTTTATCATTAGACAATCTAAATACAAGTAATACGTAAACTGTTATATATTAATAAAATTATATACAACAACTATACATACTTGAAATCATAGTCTTTCTAAATTCAGGAAGTAAATAAGTTTTATAATTCGGTTTATAATTTTTAGTATTGATATGACAATAAAAGGTGGCATATGTCCATAAATTTGTTAAAGATTTTTTATAATGCTGCTCTTTATTAATTTTTTTGTGTTAATTGATATCAATAGACTATTTACCTTTGAATGGAGCTACTAGTCTATCTGTTTACTGTTCTTAGTATAAATGTATTATGTAAAATTACAAATTAGTTTGTCTCTGATTTCTCGATCGATTGTTAATAGCTATCAATCATTTAACTCAATTCGCTTAACAGCAGTTACTCTAAAAGTGCTAGGTTGTGTTATCTGCGTATCTATAATTAAATATTCAAACCATGATCCTTAGCAGTTACTCGAGGATTGTGTAATACGTTTGCATAAATGTGAATTAACTGTAGAGCTTCTAATTTTGGCTTGACTTATGGAAGCTGGTGACAATTTAACACATTATATGTTATACATTACACCGAACTGGGATACGTGGGATATTAAATGCTGCGGGTTGGAGCTTATATCGTAGCACCTAGTTGCAACTGTTAACTCATACTTCCTTGCAGTTTTGACGAAGAATTAAAATTTATGGAAGCGGTCCATAAACTTTAGTGTTATTTTGAAAAAAATTGAAAGTGACTAATAGTAATAGTTTTGAAAAGAATTGTAATTGTTATTGTAAATAATTTATATTACAAAGATTCAATATACAATGGAGGACTAATCCCATTAAGGGATCTCTTAAAGTCAACCTTTGAGAAGCTGAAAGAAAAGTATAGATTTTGTATTTTTATCTATTTATAACGAATAAATTATAGGAAGAAGTTCTAGATTTGCATGTATTATATATACACTCCTCGCAAAAATTAAGGGAACATAAAATTTTTTGAAATTTTTGGGTGATTTTCAACAGGCTGTATTTCAATGAAAAATAATCGTACAGGAAATTTAAAAAAAGGGTTTTGAAGCTTGAAAACTCTAGTTTTCAGATTTTTTGGTGAAAAAATTTTTTGAGCTCCGGTTTCCATGCAATTCTTAAACAAAGCTGAAAATAATTTTTTTCTAAATTTTCTAGGTTTCGTTTTTCACTCTATGGGCATGGAAAATTTTTTTCGAGCTACTCCATTGTATAGGTCTCTTAGCGTGTTTATTCAGCTTCAAAAATCGCTTTGGATGGCTCAATTACGACCATTTGTCTCCGAGATATCGAACTTTGAATGCAAAAGCATCCTTTTCCATTCAACTGCTAATATCTCTGGAACTACTGGTCGCACAGCAAGCGGGCGCCGAGTTTCTTTATCTGCATAAAATTTTCTTGATTTGTTTCGATTTTTTTTTGATAATGAATTTTTAAAAAACAAAAAATTGAGTAAAAAGTGAAAAACAAATGAAATTATTGATTTTTGAATGGATTAGGGTGAGTTTAAGGGACAAAAACCTTGTTCCCTTATTTTTTCCAAAATTTCAATCAATTGGTCCGGGAAAAACCGTTGAACCGATCGCTCCAGGGATTTAGGGGGTTCTTTAAGGAACAATAGACTGTAAAATTTTCCTCAAACCTTAGCTTTCCCGCCCATATTAGCGAAGATACAGCCAAGTAACCAAAAAAGGAGAAAAAGTCACTTTTTTCCACTTTTTTCAATTCAATGTTAGAGGTGGAAAAAAATTTTTTCTTCACTAACTCTTGACTGTGCTTAATTGGAAATTTTATGCAGATAAAGAAACACGGCGCCCGCTTGCTGTGCGACCAGTAGTTCCAGAGATATTAGCAGTTGAATGGAAAAGGATGCTTATGCATTCAAAGTTCGATATCTCGGAGACAAATGGTCGTAATTGAGCCATCCAAAGCGATTTTTGAAGCTGAATAAACACGCTAAGAGACCTATACAATGGAGTAGCTCGAAAAAATTTTTCCATGCCCATAGAGTAAAAAACGAAACCTAGAAAATTTAGAAAAAATTTATTTTCAGCTTTGTTTAAGAATTGCATGGAAACCGGAGCTCTAAAAATTTTTTCACTGAAAAATCTGAAAACTAGAGTTTTCAAGCTTCAAAACCCTTTTTTTAAATTTCCTGTACGATTTTTTTTCACTGAAATACAGCCTGTTGAAAATCACCCAAAAATTTCAAAAATTTTTATGTTCCCTTCATTTTTGCGAGGAGTGTATATATATATATATATATATATATATATATATATATATATATATATATATATATATATATATATATATATATATATATATATATATATATATATATATATATATCTCCATGCCATATTATATTTATCTTATTATATAATTAGTATTGATGAAGATATCGCGTAAAATAAAAATTACGATATTTGATTTCACAATCTATATGGTTGGTTCAAGACTAATTTTAGATGTCTAAGCCGAAATCATAAAACTTTATAAAAGTTACTTCTAATGTACGTAGTACGTTCTGTTTGAAATTCAAACGACAAACGTCGTACAATTTCGGGAAACTACAAAATGCGTTGGTATCATATTTCATATGGGGTAAAAGGGTATAACACCCATACGTAAATGAAATTTGATATGGGTCGAGGACTAATGCAAACTTTAGCTCTGTTTTGTGGTTTTTGCTTTTTAGTTATAAACTTTTTTAAAATTTAGTAACAATAATAAATAGACCTGGACATATATCATACAGTGCTATCTAGTCTCAAATTTAGCATAAGCAAAGCTTGACGTATGGGTACTTGATTGGTATACTTTATTAAAGTTACTACCTACTTTTATACCTACAATAACAAAAAAACAATGAATAAAACATATAAAAACAATGAATATTGAATCAACAATCGTTAGAAGGCGAGATAGCGTATTAAATTGCTACGAAAATTTTAGCTAATAGACCTTCCACTGCATTCGAACTTCTATCCCTAAGGTACCAATATACGTACATTTCTCTATTTTGAAATGTCACTATTGACTGACGTCCTCGTAAATATCATCAACCCCGTTATATTCGTACATATTAATATCGGTCTGTAATTCATTTTTAATGCAATCTGATTACACTTTTTTGAAAACCCGAAGAGCAGAGGACAAATATTAAAACAAACAACAATAAATTTAACGATTAACAAAATATGTGTTGTCATTTTTTATGTATTAATATATTATGTATAATAGGTTCAAAAGTAGGTTAAGTTGGGTATCTATATAAAATAATTCGGTGTGTATCCTAGAATTTTCGTCAAATAACAATATAATTAAAACTTGTTCCACTTTGGCAATGTAGATTGGAGAAGTATACATTATAAAGAAGTCTAACTCTTAAAGAAGTTGATAACTTTGCTTAACGAAGGACAACGCCATAAAAGTTATCGCTTCCAGACGCTATTTAGCAGTGAGCAAGAGTTATGAGATTTGGCGTAGGTACACGACAAACGCCGCTAACTGAAATTATAAAACGTGTACCTACTTAGATATTTATAATGTATACATGTTAACTATCCTATTGGTTCATTTGTTTTACATAATAAAGCGACGGTCGTTATGGCTTTATATTATGGCTTTATATTACGGCTCGCCATCGACAGGGAGTTCACCCTCATACCTTACAACCTAAATGGTCGCGTACAACGCGGTTTCAGAGATGCTTTCTTCCACGAACACTCAGGTTATGGAATGAGCTCCCTGCCGAGGTTTTCCCAAGAGACTACAGCATGGGGTTCTTTCAAAAAGAGGTAAAGAGGTTTCTTTAGGGTCGGCAACGCGCGCGTAATACCTCTGGTATTGCAGGCGTTCATAGGCTACGGTAACCGCTTACCATCAGGTGGACCGTATGCTTGTTTGCCACCTGAGTTATATAAAAAAAATGGCCAAGAATGACTGAATAATGGATGAAGCTGAAGAGACATAGATCATCCGTCTGTTAAGACGTTTCCGATCAGGAGTAACCTAGGCCTGGAAACACCTAAATCCATAAAGGTCGTCGTATATATAAGTACCATCACATCACATCTCAGCCTTTATCTGTCTACTGCTGAACATAGGCATCCCCTATAGACTGTTATAAGGAACGGCCCTGAGCCACTTACATCCATTGGCTCCCTGAAATGTTTTTGCAATTTTTCAGATGCATCATAGTTTTGGCTTAAGCATACTATAAAAAAAAAAGGCAAAGCCACGGCTTGCAGCTAGTATATTTATAATTCACTGGTTCAAGTCCACTTTAGTATTCTAGTCAGTCATAATTGGTATACTTAATTATTTAAGGTTGTGTTCAACATAAAAAAAAATCCGACTTGGTACGATTGACGTGGCAAAACCATTTATTTTTATTCGAAAATTAAACAACTAAATTGATTTTGATAAAGTTTCTATGGAACCAATCTGAAAGTATATCCTTTCAGTTAAAAAAGAAATAATTTTCTAAATCAGTGTTTAAAAATGACGGGGTTATGAGGTAACACAAAAAATACAAAGGAAATCGGTTTAAAATAAATTACACAAAGTAAGTATCGATGAATCATGAAAATAATTTTTGAGACTTTCATGCAAAATTGAATAGCCATTTATGAATATTATTTATAATGGGTTTAAGCTTGTAATAAGCAGGATTAATCCCGTATAGAAACTGTATACAATGTTTACTGTTACAGACAGATCGTAGGCAGGCATAATCTAATTAGATTGGCACATTCATTGAATTAAAAAAAAAAGTAAAATTAATACATACCCGCGGGTACCACTTGGAAAATGCACGGCTCAAGCTGTCTGCCTACGGCGTTGGTCCCTCTACAGCTAAGCGTACCGTAGTCTCGCTCACTTTGTGGTTTATAGCTCAGTTCACTCGTGCTGCCATTGGCTGTACCTAAGAATAATTGTAGTAGTTAGGCATATATATATAAGAGAAAGGTAAGTAGGTATATCTATATATTTATTGAATAATTTTAGGGTAAAAAATTAAATTAATTGTAATTTCAAGTTTATTTTGATACTTCTGATGTCAAACAAAATGATAGAACAACTGTGAAAATATCGTTGAAAAAATATGTTCTAGGCTGAATTATAAAAATAAAAAATAAGTGCCACAGAATCATACTCAATGCTGCTCTTCAAAACACTCTAATAATTATAATTGTAGAATTTCCTTTGTGTTTTTATTACTTCTATTATTTAAGAAAGTTCATAACTTTAGCATACCAAAGTGTAGCAATGTTTCAATTATCTGTCAATTTTCAATTAAAGATTGTGCTCTACAAAATAACCGAATTCAATTTAAAAGAATATCTATTATTTGTTGTAGTTGCTTTAAAAACTAAATTACTGAATCGATTTTGATAAAATGCATAGACATCCCTTAGGATGGTCTCCTATGGGATATCTGTATATAAAATGTATATATGTAAGTATGTATATCATTTAAGATAACAAGAAAATTTTCCAAATTTGAACTGACGGTTATGGTTATGAGGTAATCATCGTTTCCGGAATTATTTCTTCTAACGTTATATAAATACACATATGGTCGTATTGGTTATAAATTATAATATATTTATAAATCTATATTTTGTACAAATTATCATATTTTAAATCTACAAAGATTCTGAAATATTTGTGTTCAAAGAAACCGGGTTAGTAAAAAAATTTAAAATGGCCATCAGATTATGAAATGAGCTCCCTGCCGAGGTTTTCCCAAGGACTACAGCATGGGGTTCTTCAAAAGGGGGGTAAAGGAGTTTATTCAGGGTCGGCAATGCGCGCGTAATACCTCTGGTATTGCAGGCGGTCATAGGCTACGGTAACCACTTACCATCAGGTGGGCCGTATGCTTGTTTGCTACTTCAGTGGTATAAAAAAACTTTTAATGATATTATCTGTCCATATTTATTCATTTATTTATTTTTTATAATTACTAACTAAGGGAGCCTGACAGTTTCACAATGCGTTCGCTTAGGAATTGCAATATACAAAACATAATAAAAAAATATTGGACATTTTCTAAATAATTTATTGCCATTTTGCGAAAGTCGTTAAGTTCTTAAATTAATACATATATCAAATTTCGGATATTGACTCATGACACTGTTGAGCAGTGCCAATGACAGTGAAATAGGAGCCTCTTTGATTGTGTTTTTCTCAGCGGAGCATATAAAAAGTACCTTCGACGAGCCTATGAACATACATAACATATTTTTTTTTAAATATAGTTAATTAAGGTTAACTTCTATCTCACTTCAGGGGAATTATATCCTAGCATGCTCAGTAAGAAGTGTTACATGGACCCATAAATACCGATTTTCAACCTTCATTTCAAAACTTTATAAATTCTTAAAACAATATAAAAGAATTATAAAGTTATATCTAGGTATTTACGCATTATTTTTAATAAATAAATAATATAGTTAAATATATAAAGAAATTTAAATATTATAAAAGATTATTTAAATCTAATAATAATATTTTACTTTACGACCATTATCTACTCGTATTTACTTTAATTGTACACATTTGTAAGAAAAAGTTGACCCGCTTTATTCAAAGCATTTGTATGGAAACATTCTATATATATATGTATAATCTTTTTCTTTTATGAAGTAATGTAATATTACTAAAATTTATACCTATATATTTATTAAAGTCTCAGCTCTCAAAAAAATAAAAAAATATACAATTCGAAATGGCCACCTTTGGCTTTTAGACAGGCCTTTAATCTGTCTGGCTACAAATCTATGGATTTATGCACTTTTTTCAACGGAAATTTCGCCACTGCTTGCTCCAAAGATTTTAAGAAACTAACTGTCGTCATGTCGTATAGAGCAGGTCATGTTTTCTAATACTGACCATAATTTGAAATCTAAAGGGTTGAGGTCTGGGCCAGATGAGGGCCAGTCTGTTGTATTGCTGAAAGGTTTCACAACACGATCCAAGACTGTATCTTGATTCATTTTGGCTGAGTTTTCACTCCTTTTTCACAAAAATTTAGTTTTGTGACTCCTTGATAAGACACGCCCCACCAAACCATCACTGACGCAGGATGATGAGCACGTTGTACCTTTCCAACCACTTGAGCAGCTTCTTTAGAACTGTGAGTGTACACTTAATCATTTTGTTTATTGTAGTGTTCTTCAATAGTAAAAAAAAAATTATCAGTAAAGAGAATATTTCTGTGCCTTTCACTCGCTACAGAAGGCGTTTTGAACGATCCACTCTCTTTAAAGATTGATTTAGGGCATGTCCTAATTTTACCGACCTGAAGCTCGGTGCTTATCGACGATAAGCACTAAGCTTTAGGTCTTGTTTTATAATACGCGACAGAGTCCAGCAGGAATTTTCATTTCTCGCGATAAGATTTCTTGCTTCCTAATGGGGTTTCGACGAATTCTGGCTTTAACAACATTAACAACCTTTGTAGTTTTGCACGCGGCCGCCCCGATCTTTTATGGTCTTCGATAGAGGAAGTGTTGTTGTATCTATTGATAGTACGATATATGAACATATGGCTGATACCAAGCTTTCGAAGTGTCTGGAATATGACCGACGGCTGCATAGCCACTTTGTGCAAGGTGAACACTGCAATCCTATTTTCTTTGATACCCCATTCCGTATTGTAGTTTGATAATGAACACGAAAGCTAGCAATATTCTCTGGTATTAATCTTTACGTTGTCACCGTGAAAACCATTATGTTGAACTCCTGGTGTATTCATCACGATGGGCTAACTGACTTGCCTTTTCATTCTAACTTATCATTCCTCACTTGTGCTCGCCAGGTTATATTGTTATCGTAGACGGGGCTTATCATTCATTAAAAAAAAAGTTAATCAAATGTACGAAGTAACATTGAAACAAGTTTGCCAATTTAGCCCATTTTCCTCATTCCGCTATTTGTATTTTCATTTTGGCCCTAACCTCAAATTTTGTTTATGTAGCCGTAAATTGAGATCTTCGTAAAAAAAAAAAAGTATTTATACTGTCAATTTTAAATTACTTTACAAAAATGATATCAAATGACATGTAGTCTGATTATCACAACAATAAAATCAATATCTTTAAAAGAGTAACTCTCTCTATCTCTCTCTCTCTTAAACTTTTGTTAATTTCGTACCAACATATTCATATATTATAATGCTTACATTTCGGAATTTATTATCAAATAGATATAAAACTATAAATTAGAAGTTTATAAATTGACAGCTACTTTATAGCTAATTTATTTCATTAACAAAATCTGAAAAATTTTACACTAATCAGATTTATGTTTATATTTGGTTTATTCCGATACTTTGATATCATCATTTGGTTGGCAACATTAAGTAAATATAACTTTTATTGTGTAAAGAGTATTGTTTTAAGTTTAATCTTTTAGTATGTAAATAAATAAGTAAAGTAATTTGTAGGTAATAAATAGATTTAGCCATTTTTTAAATAACGCACTTAACATTTTTTTTCCTTTGCTTTAATCCGAAAATCTAATATAGAGTTGGCAACACTGTTAAGCATGAAATTTGTGAGTTGACGTTTGACGTTGACGTGCTCAGTTTCTGTGATCTGTACGATGTACAATATTCTTAGTATTTGGTCTGAGGAAATTTCATCCCGGTGTTTTTAATTTTTGTTTATTATGATTTTCTTTACAAAATAATTGTTATTGCTATTTTCTTTATACATTATTGTGAATTCGACATTGTTCTCTGCTGTAGTATTATGTTATAATCTGTGATTGTAATTTGCACTATCATTTTTTGGTTATGATGGTGGTTGTTTTTATGGTGATATTCTTATATATTTATAATATTGTTGTTTAAACTGGAGTCTTGAGTTTAAGAATTATATCTATCAGTAATTAGATAATTATCGATAGGTATAATTGTAGCTCTTACCCCTATTGACTATTGTTTATATTCATATAAAATATATAATTGGGCTATATTCACAACAATTACAACTACTGACTGAAGCTCTGGTTGACAATTTTTGAAGAATAAAATGCCTCCGCACAGGTGTTCTTATCATATGTGTAAAAACACTTCAGACAAGAAGTCAATGTTCAGTTTTCCCTGGAAAGATGAAAATAGATTGAAAATTTGGTTGAAAAATTGTGGTAAATAAATACATCAATTGCCCCTAAGGGTATCCACTGTCCCTATATTTATCAAAGGATATAGTCTCACTCATTTGTTTTTTAAAATCTAAAATTTCCATTACAAGATTGTATTGTTAATTTTAAATTTAATAGTTTAGCAACTGATTTGGTCAGTAACCTCAATGATTTGGTTTATCTTGAATATATTTTGATGTGCATGCAAACTATTCAAGTTCAAATTAAATATTTTAGATGTACTTAATATAACTCAAGAATATGTCTTTATACAATGTTTTTGAATGATGGGCTAACTGACCGATTTTATTATTGACTGGTACCCTGCCTTAGCAAAAATTATTGGCATAGGGAAGGTTGTCATTCCATTTTATCCAGTTTACAACTGTACACTTCAAAGGGGCTTTTAAGCATATATTTATTTTATGACTGTACTAAGCGCCTGAGAATGATCTCCACAATTTTTTTTTATACCTTCTTAAAAATAAAGAGTGTTATCAGCCATAGCTATTGAGGAATTACAAACATATAAAAGAGTTGCGGAATTTCATCTTGTATTTAAATTGATGGATCATTTACACTTATTACTAATATGATTTTAGGTAATAAGGCCCTTGCAAATTTGCCTCCTAAAAATTTACAATCAAGATATATATGTATTGATCATATAGATAAAAAATATATTCGCAATGAAACTGGTCGCAGAAAAAGAATTCTAAAAGATGCTGTACCAGAAACATTTCCTATACTTCTAAATCGACCACGCACTCCACCAGGTAAGCATATATTTATATCAGGTTAAATAAACTGTTCAGTTTAAATAAATCCACATTTCTTGGGGGCAGAGGTTATTATTAATAATGATTATTCCATTAAAAAAAAAATTACTGTTTCTATAAGTTGGCTATTAATTTGTGTATCTTGTTGTTCAGATTACAAACTTCATTAATTAATAATTGGTATAATATTTTTGCCTTAATATTCTGCTTTCTGCATTGAGTGATTTAATTCTTACTAATTTTATAAATTTGAAAGTAAATTTGTTTGTTACTTCTTGGAACTGTAATGGTTTAAGATGTGATGTGATAAGCATGTACTATTTGGGATGGAGAAGGATATGAGCCTTTTTTTATTCCAGTCAATGAATATGTCTGGTTATACAGATAAAGTTGTAGGTTAAAGCTGCTTGTTATTAATAGATATTTATTATTAACTTACAATAAAAAACAATCTTGTTATTCTTTTTAGATTTACCAGATTTTCTGACACCAAATAGTGATCCACTTCGTGAAATTACTAAAACTCCTGATATTGACCTAAAAGAAGAAGATATTGAACTAATCAAACAACAAATAAACTTACCAGAACCATTATCTTGTATTCTACCAGAGACACCTCTTGAACAAGATGAGAAAGAAAAGGTTGAAAAAGAAGAGTCACCAAAATGTAAAAGGTTAAGGACATTATTAGGAATTGCAAATGGGAGATTAATGAATGAAAAAAAGAAGAATAAAAGATTGAAGATGAAAGTTGCCAATATAAAGAAAATGGTTGATTTATCAAAACACAAGTTTAGGAGTGAGACAAGTAAATTATTAACATTAATGCAATTAAGAAAAAAGAAAAAGGTTTGGTCCAATGAGGAGAAACAATTTTGCTTATCTTTATATAAGAAATCAATTTCTGCATATGGGTACATGTTAAAAATGGGAATAGTATTGCCTAGTAAATCTACAATCACCCATTGGTTGAAAGATAACAATGAAAAGTCATCTGCTAGCAATGTAATTTCATAGCTTATCTCATATTATTACATGATAAAATAATACAATCACAATTAATTTATTAAATGTTTTAATAAATTAATTATGATTTCTATGTCATAAACTGCATTGTTTATTACATGTAATACTGGATTGAAAACTGTTTTAGAAATTGTTTTTTATACAACTTGGAATGACAAACAAGCTGACAGCCCACCTGATGGAAAGTGGGAACCGTCGCCTATAGACATGAGAAGTACCATGTACAAAACAGATTCTGTTTATGTCACAGTGTTTTATATAAAAATAGAATAGTCATATTTTTTCAAAGCCACCTATTGTTAATTACCTATTGATTTTACAATAGATGGTATAAAAAGAATATAAATATGTTATATTAAATTTGTCATTGTCACATCATGTGTACAATATTTTTTTTATATTTACACATGCTATACTGTCATGGCCATGGTAACTCTCATGTATTGCCATTCCTAAGAAGGTGTTAGCCTTTGTATATTAATTTTATTGTTATACTCACCTTTACTACTAAAATACAGCTATGTGAGCACAACTGCTTCATGGTAGAAACAAGAGTAGAACAGAGGTACCCTTGCGGAAGACTTTTATAAAGTTTCCCTCTGATATGCGAAATTAATAGTTTTGTGTGTTATAAATTTATTTAAATGTATTCCATTTTTTAATTACTAATTTTAGGAGTTAAAAACAAGTCATCTATTTTCAGTTGTCAACTCATTTAAAAACAGCATTAAAAATATGTAACTGCTATAAATAAATTGTTAGTTTGAATAATATTTTATTTATATTCATTTTCCTTTTTTACAAACCTCTAACTAGAATCTTAGATTTTATCATACTATAATTATAAATGAATAAGAAACTTTGTGTAGATGTTTAGATGAATGAATGAATTAATTCTATTGCTAAAAAAGTGGTACAATAATGTCATATGGTAGTATTACAATGTTTTCACATATTTTGTCATTACTGACGTGCAACAGTCATTACAAAAGTTATGATAAAATAATTCCTTAATATGTAATAATATAATAAAATAACAAGTTTTTAAACGCTGATTGTACAGACATAATGGTATAATAATCAATGTAATATAATTATACAGAAATGTCAATCTTTTATAATGTGTCAATATAAATATTCCTGGACACTATAGTAACACTTATTTACTAGCCTGATAGATAGATACTAGATGATCGTTATTTTATCACGTTACACTAGTTTGGTATACAAATTATAGTTTAGATCATAGATTCCCAAACTATTTTGGACAAGAGACTCCTTTTCCAAAATGCCCTTTTCAAACCCCCATTGCTAAATTATTTTCATAACCCTATCTCTATTTTTTTTCCTATTGATACACAATGCTTTTTTTATGCAACAGAATAGCAAACAAGCTGACGGTCCACCTGATGGTAAGTGCTTGCTGTCGTCTGTAGGCTATTATCAATTTAAAAACTGCGGTTGGTTAAGTGAATAAACATCAAATAAACAGACATAATTTTCTCATCAAAATGTAACAAAATAAATGAACATAAATATCAAGTGTGATTAATAATTATTAAAATAACTTACGTAAAAATACTTAAGTAGGTAATTACTTTTTCAGAAAGAAATATTAAAATCAAAAAAGTTAAAAATAAAAACTTAGGTTCATTAATAGGGGTCGTATCGACCACTCTGGGAATCTCTGATTTAGATTGAAAGGTAATTCAAGTGGGCTAAGCCTTTTTTAAGGTCTCCCTATGGTTTTAATTAAAGAGCAATATCCACTGTAGCAACTATTTTATTTGATAAGTATTACATTATATAAAAACATCAAAGGACGAGAACAAGCCGATTGTAGACATTACATACAGGTGACAAACAGCTTTAGAGGGAACTTTTTTATATATTTTTTTATGCAACTTAGAGTGGCAAACAAGCTGACAGTCCATCTGATGGAAAGTGGTAATCGTCGCCTATAGACATGAGCAGTACCAGGGACATAACAGAGTACCTATACTGTTTCGCGCAGAGTACTTCCTATGTATTGCTAATCCTGAGGACTCAGATGTTATTCCTCTGTACCCTGTAAATTTAATGCCATATCCCACTCTTTAAACCGAAACACAGTCATGCAAACAACTGCTTCACGGCAAAAACACGAATGGGACAGAGGTGCTTAAGCAAACAACTTTTGTACAAAGTCTCCCTCTGGTAACCACAGACTAACAATTTTTATTGCTATCTATTACTCTCCCGGGGAAATAATCTTGAATACACTAATGGCAGTCGCGGATTACAGTGGGTGAAATATATACTGGAATAAAATGAATTTAATAAACATGTAAAAGGGAAACGGAATGTTATTGATATGGTCTAACAGTTCCACTGCTAGCATTATACCTTATTAGGTCAATCTTCACGCGATTTCCCCTGAAAACTATTGTGGTTAATTCTTGTAGAATTCGTCACGATGAGCCAATTGATGTATTTTTATCCTAATCTGTTGCTCCGTTGTCTAGTGTTCCGTCAAAATATACCGATAGCGCATATGAGATTTCACTACATTCATTCTATTTTTATCCATTAACGGAAAACAAACATTAGTATTATTATTATATGTATCTATCCAAGTTTTTTTTAATAAATCCAGTTTAAGTGGGTATTCTAATTCTTCCTAGATAAAAAATAAAAATGTAAAATTTCCTACCTGCGGTATATGCTGGTGATGCACCAGTAAATGATGATTATAGATGAGGATGAAATCATCAGAAATTGTTACAATGGTTTCCAGGGAGGACCACGTGGAGGTCGATCTAATTGCTCCCTCGCAATTTTTAGAAGTAAATCTTTTGAATTTGATTGAAAAGGTAAATAGGGATAGAAATATTAATTTTCGTTCCGTGTAATTTCGCGCAATATGTACGTGCGCGACCGCGAAATATGGGGCATATGTGTTATTAAACATAATTTTTATCGATTATGGAAAGGCAAAATATATTAAGCTATTTTGGTTGGTATTATGTTATATGTATCATCGAATGTAGTTTTTTTTTCTTTGTCGTATTATATTTCAAAACTTAATCGAAGCAAGTAATTGAGATTATTAATATACTCCATGAAGTCAACTTTCACGCGGTTCTCTCTGGAAACTATTTTGGTTCTTTCTGAATTCGTTACTATGGGTCAACCGACCTGTTTTATTCTCACCTATTACCTCTCGCTGATACCCTTCCAATATATACAGATAGCTCAGACGAGGTTACCATTCCATTATTACTCATTAAAAAAACTAGCAACTTTTGTACAAAGATTTTATTATGTATTGTGACTCTCAATAGTACCTAATAGTAAACTTATAGATACAAAAAATTACAAGAAATCTGTGCCTCTAGTGAGAAAGGGTTCAATTCAAAATGGTCACTTTTCAGGAGAGCCAAAAAACTATTTTAAATAAAGAAAAAAAATTCTGCTGCTTTTATTATTTGCTAATTGAACAAGTCAATGATTGCATTTATAGTAATTTTTTCTCCTCTTTCTTATGAAATTGTCGGTTTTTGTGTAAAACCTATAGTTTTAACAATAATTCTATTATACCTAATCACACTTAACAAAAATATTAAAATTATGATGTGAAAATAGTTTTAAGTTGAATTAAAACGATTTTATTGAAGTATTGAAGAAAAACAATGTTGTGTATTTTACGCTATAAAAAAATAATCGCTATTAAATGGTGTAAAAGGGTTCAAATCGAACTGATTCATTTTACAAAAATAATTTTTGAAAAATATTGTAGTTTTATTTCTAATTATGACTTTTTTACCACAAATATTTTGTTAATTGTAGCCTTTTACATGTTTACTATCTCTATTGTTTTTAAAGATATCGTTACGATTCTTATACCATTCGAAAGAGAAAAATTTGCTTATTTAAAGTAGCCTAAAAAAGAAAAAGGCTATAACTTGAGTTATATCCTTTCTCACTAGAGGCACAGAAATGATCATACTGAAAAAACAATTAGCAGCCTTGTCGCTAAAAGCGGTCGAAGCTACTTTTAGATGGCGAGGAATAATTGTAAATAATTTGATCCTTACGTTATATTAAGTCTATGGTTTATTCGAAGGCACGATGAAATTTTTGTCATTTTTAAATACATATGGAGTTATAATTGCATGTAATCATGTAAATATATATTATTTTATTTAATATTATAATTCACAGCTCTCTTCAAAATAACTTACATGTTAAGTCTCTTATAAATACAGTCAATAACGGATTTTAATTATATAAACGTAAATTATACAAGTAACGCAAGTTAGAGTGGGTATATGTGAAAGAAACTATAACAATGAATGCCCACGAAGCCGGTTGATTAATATATAAATTAAATAAAACATATGTTGCTACAGTTCATAAATAAATAGGGAAATATATAAACATATATCTCTATTTATTTATTAGGTTACAATTTGATATGTACCTATGTATAATTTCAGAACTAGGCGATTGGTGTTGTGTGGCACTTAATTTATGATTTAAGCATTTTCTATATTTTCTTCCAATTTTGCATTAAGTAATATACTTCGTCAATCGTTGATCAAATACTCTAGATTGGTCTTTTTCCATTTTAACATTGACACTATTAAATCTGCTACCTGACAAGGTACAAATGAATACATTGATAGAACCTTTATCGCTAGTGAACCATGAGATAGAACGAGATGGAGACGTGCGCTGTCTTGTTCTTTTCCATGTGATATCTGATTTAAACGATTTTATCGATAGATTCGTTTGTACTTTGTCTACTCTGGCCGTACTTGTACTCGCTCTTCTGAGATATGAATATGGCCTGCTAACTTTTATTATGTACTGTGTAGATTTATTAAAACAATACCCACCGTATGAAGTACTTACCAAATTTTGTTGGGGAAACATCAAGGCTTTCTCCACTGTTATTGAATTGCCAGAAGAATGTTACGTCCGGCGGGTTGGCCGTTACGGAGCAGCGTACGCGCAATGCTTCGTCGATTTGCGCACCCAATACTTGTGGTGACGGATGGGAGCATACGGGAGCATCTGTATTAATTCCAATGAGCTTTATGGCGATGAAAATCTATTATATAACAGGTCAATAATTAAAATTTATTTTGTAGGAAAAATTATTTAAGAAAACATTTAACCAGTTATACGTGACGAACTTTATATAACACAAATAAATGTAACGAAGTGGACTCCTTGATTTTACGTTACAAAGCTCGACAAAAGGAAGAATGCAATAATTAACATAAAGAGCTGAAAGAGACCCGAATTCAGTTCGTTAAATCATAACAGAAGTTAGACGATATATAAATTTTATCGCCCCAACTGTTCCCTACCAGCGCAGCGCTCTCCGGCGTGATTCATTTAGGTATCTACTTACAAAACTGCGCTCCGCTGCCTTAGATTTTCATTAAACTCCCAAATATTTGCTCCACTTAAGCAGCCCTTCCAAGGAAGGATTACTGTAGCGGGAATATGAAAATATGTATGTGGATTAATGTAACACCGTAGGCAGTAGACGATCGTGTACCACGTGCGGGTAACAACATTCATTTCTTTACCTTAGATTTGTTACGGTATGGATCAATAAGGCGGAAACAAACTGTCGGCGTGCGCTACAAAAGTGAAACAAACGAGTTAGGGTTTGTATTCACTAATGTAGAATGTCGTGGATGTAGGTACGTACAGTGATTTATTTGTGGATTGGATATTAGGAGGAAAAAAACATGTGTAAAGTAAGGAATGTAATAAAAGGGAAATTAAAGAATAAAAGGGATTTATTTCGGAAAATAAAAATAAAAAAAAGTGGTAAATAAATGTATTGTACACCATTATTACTTTTTTTGCTTTTTGCTTATTATCTTATTTCATATTTCGAAAGCTCTGATGCATACATTCTTAATATAAAAGTACATTCTTAATTTATGTGTAGGTAGCTAACGAATGTGTAAAATTATGTTAAAGCTAAAATTTCTGCTACAACAGAAAGCCAAAGCAGTAAAAATGGTACACAATAAATTTATTCACCATTATTTCTAGTTCCTAAAGCAACATGATGGATTCCTTTAATTATAATATTTATTTATAACTGCTTCATTCTTTTTGTGAATTCAATTATGGCAAAAGTACAGATTAGCTTGGACTTTTAAAGTGAGTGTATATATGTCTTTACTGTAACAAATAAGGAAGGGACAGGACAACATTTGTCGCATACCGGTTTTCGGTAGTAAACATGCGGAGTTTAGTCTTCTCTTTAGTGATTGATAGGTGTCTTGTCACTACGAAAGATTGCGGCAATGCTTTAACTCAAGGATTTTGTGTATTTTTTTTAAAAAGGATAAAGTATCTTTACTAGTTTGTCAGTTGTGAAGAGAAATATATGACTCTATCATAGCGAATAAAGAAAAGACAGAACAACATTTGTAGTTGTCTTATGTGTTATTGACGGTGTTATCGACACACTCCAAATCTAGTCTATTTCTTATTATTAATGTTTGCCCTTTGACACCGAAGAGAAAAGAAATACTCCCATAACGATACTTCTATTCGAGTATATTGACGCATTTATCAATGTTCACATTGAATTATTCCCTATAGGAATTTCTGTTATTGATGGATAAACAAAATAAAATATTATACTTTATTGAATTAAGTATTATTTTGGTAAATTTAATATAACTATGTAGTGGGTTATTATCAGTGGCTTAGCGTGGATTAATATAGACGTGGGCAAAGTCGTATCAGCGAGGCCCCTTTGCTTTCATTCTCAAGATCTACCCAATAAACCTATGCTTCGACATGTAAGTATTTCATACTTAATTATAATAGTGAAACAATATAAATACGCGGTGGGAGAATATTGAAAAGCATATAGATTTGAAAAAAAGGTTTTATTTTAAAATTTGAGTAATTAAACTTTTCTTCGGCTTTTTACGTTACCGAAGTCTTCTAGTAAGGATTTGTAATTGAGTTTTTAGCTAAATCTGCTTCGATTGAGAGTATTGCTAAAGTAGACGGTTGGTCCTGCTCCATACTCTTTCTTAAGTAGTTATTTTATGTAGTAAAACTAGAAGTTATGTTTTATTGTCATTTAATATTCAGAAAAGTGACGAGTGTGGCCAATATTGTTTAAGTTTTTATTTAATTTTTATAATAAACTGGGATTTTAAGTTGGGTGGCATCCCATTTAAAGGGGCCTGACGAGGCCCCTTTAAGTGCGAGGCCGTGGGCGAGGGCCCACTTTGCTACGCCACTGGTTATTCTTGTTACTTTCTTTAATTATGAACTAATAAGAAAGATATTTGTTGCAGAAGGTTAATGGTAGCGGAATTAAATAGAATAATGTTAGTAAGTAATCAGTAAGATTAAATGTGTTCATGACTATAATTCCACATGGGATGATAAGCATTTGTTGACTGATGTCGTTGTGATGAACTCAATATATCTACATTTCGACGAGCGTTTAAATCAAACGTGGTGTATATAGGTTGAATTTACCGTTATTAAAAATTGTATAAAATATTGAACATATGAAATCAAAGAAAAGAAAAATTGACAAAAAAAAATTTCCATCCCAAAGGTTACAAAAAAATTATAAAGGTATATTATCAACAATGGAATAAAATATCTATTTAAATTATATACTTGTAAAAGTACAAGACATTATTATTGTGATTTGTAAATAATAAATCATAATAGCCAGTTACTTTTGCAGAAACCTGCTGGTATTAAAATAGTTGGTATCAAAATGTCTAAATATTGTATACCTCTCATATTTTTTGAAGTCAGTGATATTTCGTGTTGCGTTGGAATTTCAAATTTCTATCTTATTTTATTTAAAAGCTAGAGATCTATATTTGACAAACAAAACATCGTTGGAACAACAATAGGATTCCATGGCATTCTAAAATACTTATTAAATTCAGTACAAAATTGTTAAATTGTTTTGTATACAAAATACGCATAAAAATTTCCTATAGGTATCTATTTAAAATAATTTATCTCTAGTCTGGATATGCTCAAGAAAAATATGTTCATGCTAGTATGTAATACTTTGAAACAAAATTATAAGAATAAGATTATTATATTAAACTGATGAGTTAACTCCAGACTAAAATACGTATATTACCTAAATTGAAAAAATATTTACGTTAACAATCTTGAACGAAAGTAATAAATTGTTTGCATGTAAAAAGTAATAAGACCTACTTGTAATGAAGTATGTTCTTATAATTATTTTACATACAGTAAGCATATAAACAAAATATAACATGTAACATAAAGAACCTGGTTTCGGATATTACTTATTCAAGAGATTTATTCTTTTTTCATCAGAGAATGACTACATCTGTTCAATACATTGTCTCCGTCTCACCCCGTTGATTCTAACAAATCTTTGATAACATCCCTAAGAATGATTGATACAAGCAAACGGCGAAAAGCCCTTCTCGAAATGAAATGAAATTTATAAGCACTTTGTTGATAATAATAGGAAACAAAAGACTCCCTCAATTTAGATCGGAAGAGTAATCTTCGCTACAATTTACTTATTGAGGTGTTTTCTTTTTTATCCAATGTTATCTAATTTTTGTCGAAGGGAGATTGTTATTGAGGGGTTTATTCTATTATGGGCATTACCGTTTTCATTTTGTACGAAATTTGAGACAATTAAGTTGTTTAGTTTAGTATTGATTTAGTAAATTATAATTCTTATGATGCTTGTTATAAGATAGATTTAAGTACGATAATGGGGTCGATTCTGAGGCCCAATTCTCTAAACTTATCTCTAAAATTAATATTTTATATGATAATGCAGCAAAATCGTTGTTTTATGTTAATTTTAAACATAGTTAATTTTAGTTTATGTTGATCCATAAAATAGTACTTATACAAAAATATGTAATAAAAATTTTAGTTTTAGAAATAGACTTTGAGAATGGTGTCTCAGAATCGACTCCGATGATTCTGTGTTAATATTATTTACAGAAATATTATTATTAGAAATAACATAAAAAATTTTTACTTTTTTTATATAAAGAAGAAAATAAAGATGATAAATTTGATTTGTTTTGTATGTAAGGTAGGTATTAATGAAGTTAAATATTTATTGCTTTAGAAATTCACCGTTTTTATCTTCATGAGACTTGATGTTTATGGAAATGTGGTTATTTCTGTATACAAATCTTTTTTATTGAAGAAATATAATAGATGCTCAGGGGGATAAAACTTTCATCTTGTATGAATCATAATAGAATTTGCTTTACATAACCGGCAGAGTAAACTCTGCCGATTAACGCGACTGGCATATTAAAATATGCCACTCGCGTTGAGGACGTAATATTGACAGACTAGTATATTTACATCGGCGGGTTATACAAAGCAAATCCCATTATGATTCGTGACTTTTTAAACCCCCACATCACGTACAAAATCAATGTGCAACAAAAAACTTAATGCCCCTAGTCTCATATTTGTCTATAGGTACTAATATTATAAAGGGGAAAGATTTGATTATTTATTTGTAATTAATAAACTCAAAAACTATTCAAATATTTTTTTTTTTAACTATAGAAAGCTATATCAGCGAGTAACATAGTTTATACATTATTTTTGAAAATTCTTTTTATCCGTGCGCAGCCTGGCTCAGCCCGAACCGGCCCGGTTCACTATATACATATATTATATATCGATAGAACAGAATTTGTTTATTTAGAGCAAATTAATAATTCATGATTTTAACCATTTATGTAACAGTGTCATAAGCATGCTTGATCCCCATTATTTGACATCGACGTTGTTTAGGGTCGGTTTACTGCTCTCTCGCATATGAGGCGTCAATGTTTATTACGGAGACTCCTACTTAAAATTATGTTGATGATACATTTATTAGTAAGCTTCCGTTCCAGTAGTAATATGTTTATTACTAGCTCTAATTAAAGTCATAAAGCTTACATTGTATACTAAGGTGTGTGGTTTGACTTGCAGTTTCTCCCAGTGCGTTCGTGGCTCGACATGAGTATTCACCTCCATGGTCCCTCGTCACCTTCTGTAGCACTAGAGACTTTGTGCTGACAATCACTCCTAATACCACGTTGTGGAGGACTGGCTTATCCTGTATTGACAACACTTGATATAGTTACGTTAATATTCTCATAATGTCTCTGTAATGTAAATGTAATTAATTTCAGTCATCTATATCAACAAGTAAAAACCTATACGAGTGAATGCATGACCTTTAAGTGAGCTGGTAATCTTATTTATTAATATTATAAACGTGAAGGCGACGAATTAAGACGCTAAGACGTTTGTTACGTCTTAGCGTCTTAATGGCTTACCTGATCATTACGAAATTTACTTTAATAGTTACCTAGGATGAAAAAAAAGCTTACTTTTTTCCCATTCAGTGAATATACCCCCGTCAGGTGAAAGAAATCGCGGGGAAAAGCAATTTGGGATATAGGTATAAGGATATCGCGAGTGTCTAGGCTGTCTTCGTTGTACACGAAGACTTTTTGACGTGGCTTACCGCGAATGACGGCTCTACGTGATTTCCAAAGCACTAAGCAAGTGAAAATCAATTTTAAGTAATCCAATCATGAATTCAGGGAATTAGAAGTTTGCTCGTATTTTTCTAAAATACTTTTTTTATTTTATACTAGCGGCCCGTTCCAGCTTCGCACGGGTGGACATTTTTACATTTTAAAAAGTGGCCATTAAGGCTGCATACGCTACGGAAACTTAAAAACGGAGTAACTTCTTCCGTTTTCCCAACATTTCCCTTCATTGCTCTGCTCCTATTGATCGTAGCGTGATGAAAAGTATACTATAGCCAGCCTAGGAGTATGAAGAATAATTTTATCAAGTTTTGTTGAAATCCGTCGAGTAGTTTTTGTTTCTATAACGAACAGACAGACAAAAATTTTACTTATTACATTTTTGGCATCAGTATCGATCACTAATCACCCCCTGACAGTTATTTTGGCAATATATTTCATGTACAGAATTGACCTCTCTACAGATTGATTATAAGTATAGATTTATTACCTAAATAGAAGTAAATATTGACAAAGTAAATGCCGTAAAATTTCGACACTGCTTCATAAGTGGAGCACATTTAAGTATAGACATATTAAATGTAAGGCCGAGTAGACAAACATTTAGTGGTCTACAAGTAGCATGTGGGTAAACGGCGACATTATCGTAAATTGTTCCTTAAATTTTATAGGTTACACTTGCAATATAATCGTTCGTAATTTAAAATTTATACCATTAATCGTGGTTCAGTAGTTAAGCATGGTGTATTGTGTGAATGAGATTCCAGATCCCATATTCGCAATATTTAGTAACGTATGTAAACAAGTAAATAATAAGAAGCTGTATTGTATAGCTACTTTAAAATTTTGGACTAATTATTTTTTAAGTTTCTGCTACTTCTTGGGACTTTATTAATAGGTAATATTACTGAAATTGGTGAAAACTGGGTGTCCTAAGAGGCAATTAAGGGAATTTAATGGTAGAGGGATGGTCAGTAGCGTTCCTTTTAAAATATCTCTTAAATCCTATCTGTGATTGCTAATCTGTCCGCCAAGCGTGGCAACTATTGGCAAAACCCCCCTTATGGGGAAGGCTTATTTTTATTTTATTTTATTTCCATAGGTATCTACACATTACAGAGAATTAACATGGTTACATTAATTTATACAGTACAATAATGTTTTGTTCAAGCTAACCCTCCAATAATATGCGTACACAGCATGATCAAAACATAAACACACAGCTAAACAAGTCTGTAAACACAATATAATTTATACAACACAAAAATTATTTAACTTATACATTTACAATTATAAAGCTTATGTTCAGAAGTAGACACTTAACAGCTGAAACGATGATTATTGAAAATAATAAAGAAGCTATAGAGACATCCGATAGAGACTGGTAAAAGTCATCTATAAATATGAATATTTTAGAATAATATTATGGTCTCTATACTTTAATATTTCTAAAGATCTCGCAATATGTTATACCTCTTGCGTCTGAGATTAAATCCGCTATTTTATATTTCAACCAAAAAAAAAGAAAGAAGAAATAACAATACAGTTAATATAAATAATTGATGGATACCTTAATTTATTCTTTTATATATAATTTATTGCATACATACCATGTTTATTCAATTGTTATGTTAATTATTTTTGAGAGTTTCATGTACTGCATGCAATGTTATTTAGGGGATTTGGAAATCTCTACGTGTTTATTGACTTATGATACTGACTGTACCTAAAAATATGTATAAAACGGTAGTCCTATTATTAGCATCGATACAATAAGACATACTTACATTATGGTACCAGGAGATACGATTTTCCCTTGGGTTGGCGCGTACTGAGCATTCAAAGTATACATCATCGCCTTCTTTGATATCGTGTGGATTTAGTGTACTTCCCAATGAAAGCGACACCACGGGAGGATCTGTAAATAGAATATGTTTTAGAATCAGGCCTGTCAAACCGTTGTGATATGTTAAGTGGTTTGGGTAACTAAAGTGAAACATTCCTTGCTTGTATTACATTGGTCGTTTTCCGAAGTTTCTCACGCGCCTGATTCATTGTCTTCGAGAATTTTGGGAATTTTATCCTTAATGACCATATACTTTTTTACCAGAGGGAGACTTTGTACAAAAGTCGGTTGCTTGGGCACCTCTGTCCCATTCGTGTTTCAACCGTGAAGCAGTTGTGTTTGCATGGTTGTGTTTCGCTTTGAAGGATGGGATATGGCGTGAATTTACTGAGTACAGAGGAATAACACCTGAGTCCTCAGGAATGGCAACGCATGGGGGGTATCATGAGCGAAACAGTATACTCTGTTACGTCCATGGTACTGCTCATGTCTATAGGCGACGGTTACCACTTTCCATCAGGTGGGCCGTCAGCTTGTTTGCCATTCTAAGTTGTATAAAACAAAAAAACAAGAAATTATAGTGCAAAAATGTATGTGTCTAGATACAGATTGTGCATTTAGTATCAGTTGGTAAATACATATACCACACAAATTACTATATACTCGTATTTCATACCTATGTGTGAAAGAAAGAAATTGACCATTGTGGTTTTTTCCCGTGAGTATAGTAAGAGGCTACTAAGGGAATTTAGTGGCTAAGAGATATACAGTAACGTCTGTTTTAAAATATCATCAAAGCCTAACTGCCATGTACATAACATAACCGTACCGTATCATATACCATGGACATAACAGAGTATACTGTTTCGCCCATGATATTCTCCATGCGTTGCCATTCCTGAGGATTCAGGTGTTATTTCTTTGTGCCCTGTAAATTCACGCTATATCCCACCCTTCAAACCGCAACACAGCCATGTAAATACAACTGCTTCACGGTAGAAACACGAATAGGACAGGGTACCTCTGTCTTATTCAAGCAATCGATACAAAAGCAATCGACTTTTGTATAAAGTCTCCCTCTGGTAAATTTATAAAAATAGTTCTTTTAGGCCAGGTAATATATTATAGCTATGGTTTCTAAAGGTTTTCATAGAATTTCAATTGGAAAATCCAGGTCAACAGCATACAAGTTATTAAGTCGATTGCTCTATATACATATGGAAAACGTATATCTGGTAAGCACAGAAATTGTTTAATTGTAACACCCATGATAATCTTTTGAAAATGTAATAAACGTAACCTTTTTGGTTAAAGGTTATTCATAAGAGTACATTATATTATAAATAAAAATTAAACGGGAAAGATAAAAGTGTTCTTTGAAATAAATTATGTAGTACTGTAACACGGCGAATTTACGCGATATGTGGGTGGGATAGAGCGATAACTGTATAAATTGGAGTATAGTTTCACATATAAATACATATAAACTAAGCATACAAATTATTTTTAACTGAAGTTGGAGATTAGACATAATAATATGCTAATAGCTTTGTGAGTGGGTTATGTGGCGTTCAAATAAAAGACAGGAATATAAGCGTAAGTCATAATATTACTGTACATATTTAATTTATGAACTAGCTGCATCCTTTGGCTTTACTTGTATCGTGATATCGGATAGCCCTCCACAATAATGAGCTATCAGATAAAAAAAAGATTTTTCGACGGGTATTTTTTGAGATTAGTGTGTTTAAACGAATACGCACTTTTCCGCTTTTAATATTACTATCCTTACTAATATTATAAATATTTTTTTATACCACTGAGGTGACAAATAAGTATACGGCCCACCTGATGGTAAGCGATTACCGTAGCCTATTAATGCCTACAATATTAGACGCATTACGCGCGCGTTGCCGACCTTAAAAGAAGCGCTTTACCCCTTTTTTGAAGAACTTCATGTGAAAACGTAAAATTAAGTACGTTTGTTACCTTACAGCACCTTAATAGCTTAACAAATTACTATGAAATTAAGTATACACTTCTATATGGGATGGAGTAGGATGTAGGTTACTTTTTATATTGGTCAGTAAACATATCTCGGTCACGCAGACGAAGTCGCGGACAAAAGCTTGTAGATTAATAAATTGGTGGCTATTACAATAACATAATAATATTATCTTCAGTGTAGTTCCCAGTGGATATCAGGTAGCCTAAGCGACAGAGATAGATTGATGGTGGCCTTTCCTACGGCATTGTCTTGCGGGTGGAATGATTAATGCGATGTTTCCGATGCTTTGGGTATAGAATGCAACTTCATCAATTGAGGATGATATCCTTACATGTTGCATGCACGAATATATTGGTAGATACAAAAGCCGGAAAAGTGTGTGAGTGATTGTAGTTTTGTATTAAATTCGAATAGATAGGCTTTGAAGAGATTGAAACGGAAAACTAATTAAAAATACATGTGAAAAAAATACAATCGTAATAATAAATTCTTTATTTAGGTTATCGGAACCCACATTATTACATACAGATATTATATACAGATTATCAGCTACTTAAACTACTTTTTTATAATAATTTAATATTCTGATTCAACTACCAAATCATCATAAAAGGTACACACGAATAGTATTTGGGATGGATAAGAACATGGGCTGAAAAGTATTCCGGTATGAAAAGTGTTCATTCTAATCACGTAGACACAATCATGAGTAAAAACTATGCTGATATAAAAGAGTGTTCGATTGTACTCCATACTTCATTAGAGAATTGGTATAAATTAGTATCAGTAAAAATATTTTTGTATGCCTGAATATTTTTAGAATACCTATTGCCAATTTGAAAGTTGACAGGTATGTATGAAAGAAAGAGGTGAGAAGAACAAGCCTATAATAGAAGCGATATATGTTATTAGGATAAGAAAGCCTATTACGCTCTAACGATTACTTAAATGATAAGCGTGCATGATGATCTTGTAATTTTAGACATAGTATATTTAAATAGATACACGTACTGTTAACAGAGGTTTAAAAGAGTAACTGTAGAGTTTCTCGCGGGTTTTTCTCAACAGATAACTTAACTTAATAATTAACTTTCCGAACCCTGTAGTAGATTTAAAAAAAAATGACGATTCAAAAATGCTTGTATATAAGTCTGTTTGAATTTGAAATGAGTAAAATTTTAAGACGATTGTATATATATATATATATATATATATATATATATATATATATATATATATATATATATATATATATATATATATATATATTGTCTAATAATAATTATAACTATTTAGACATAACTGAGTAATAAATATCCAAACATTTTTAAAAACTTTTAAAATATTAGTTTTACATTGTTAGTTATTGTTATGGGAGTAATCAAAGCTTAAAGCTTTGATTAATAAGTTTGCACAAAATGATACTGCATAATAATGTGGTTATATGTAAGCGTTATAGCAATGCACAATATCATCACGCAGCAGATGAAAGGCAATCCGCAAAGCCGATTTCGCTCTACATGTGGAATAAAACATATAACCAACAGTATTTCATATTTCAACTAGTATTATTTAGACTAGTTCTAAGACATAAGATCAATAACATTATTTATTGTTTTGTACTTAGTGTAGACGTAACAAAGGACTATCAGATTACAAACAGAAGTTATTGTTTTGCGAGCGTTCGAGTGAGAAAGTGTTGCAATTACATTTTGTTATGTAGGCCAAAACAGTGTCAGAATATTTAATTTAATTGTGTCAACACATATTAATTATAATAAACATCGAAGGGATGAAGAAATAAGTTAATAGAAATAGGTATAATGTTTTTAATTACCCAAATAATAAAATGTTTCTTAGTAATTTAGATTCTTATGCAGGAAGTAAGAAGAATAGAGCCTTTTAGCATTCTACACCTACCACGTGTTGTACTAACTTAGTGTAAAGATAAACAGAAACTTTTTTCTGCCAACACCTTCAAGCATTAAAGAAAAAAAAAATAAATTCATATAAAATATACGAGAGAATCTGTATAAATTATATAAAGTTCTAAACTCGAGACAATAGGTATTTTGAAGGTTTCCACGAGTCGAATACATAATGTCGAATATGTACCTAGTATGGAAAATGCAGTGTCCGAAATGCGGAGCATAAAAGTACCTGTCTGGCATACAAAAGTAATTTCATTTTTATGATTTTAAGCTATTCTAGAGGAAAGGGCGAAAACTCCAACTCGTTTTGAGTTAGATGCTTGATATACTTTGATATTTATTGCATGAAAATTTTTAGAATATGTGATTATACTAGTTCATTTTGACGCATAATAATCCACTTTAACTTTTTAATATGAGCTGAAGATCGTTGGATATATTAAAATTAAAAAAAAGATAGTGTAAGGGACAACAATTATAAAAATATATAATTTATATTTACGGGTTTTTCCTTTTACAGTCATTGAATTTACGAGTTTACTTGATAAAATTTTGAAAATTCCAAATAAAATCCCAAAAGAAAAACTTTTTTTGGTATTTTAATTTTTATTTAGTAGATTTATTAGACTGCAATCTGTGAGACCATGATGATTTATTTATTTTATTTATTTATTTATTTCTTGTTGCATTCCATAATATAATTAGTAGATAACATTTCAACTTCAATTATGGACTCTGTTGGGCACAGCAAGTAGGCGAGAGGAGGACAACACTTTTTCATATTAGAAATAGTCTAAGAATTTATCCAGTCATTGAAATTGTATCACGATAGTTACGTATTTTCTGCATATTTAATATTTAAGTATTGGTGTGTATCTATTCATATCGTAATTGTTATTAGTATTATATAGTTATTTAATATATTCTGTAGTTTATAATTATTCATATTTATATTACAGAAGTAATTAAAAATAGTATAATATAATAATATAATTTTTATCTGTGTATATGTAAATATAAGTATATGAATATAAACATATTATAGTTTTTTATGAAAGGCAATCTTAATATATAATGAGCAAATAGTATCAATAGCGTAAATGAGTAAATAATGTTTGTTACAGGATTCAGGA